CGGCGGCTCCTTCAGAGCTCCGCGAGCGCCCGGGTGTGCCCGAGCAAAGCTCCAAGTCAGCCCGAAAACTCTCTGCTGTGCAATTCTGTCTCAGAGAACAAGGGCAGGCGTGTACATGTCCTTGAATTTACTGGGAAAAGGATAGCACTTGTTCTATTGCTTATTAAGAGGGTCTAATATAATTTACTTAGGAAATAAAGTCTGCAGAGCAACATACAGGGAATGTGGGCAGTAGTCCGAGTTATCAGTTCCTGAAAACACCTGGATTGGTGAATGAGTTAACCAGGCTTTTAATCCTTCCTATGGACAGCTGGTCTGCTCTGAGGAAATTGTTTTGGGCTTTTTCTATAATGTTCATCACATTTATTATGTGATATATTGTGTATATATATGTGTGTGTGTGTGTGTATTGTATATATATTGTGTATGTATTATGTAGCTACTTCACTAACTTTGTTTTCTCTCAAGAGCAGAAGGAGAAGGGTTCTAAAATATCCATTTCTTTGCAAGGGAAATGAGGTGTAGGAAGTTCAGTGTCAGGAGCATCCTCTAGTGTTGATTGCCTGCTTCTGAGATAGAATTATAGAATTGTTTATGTTGGAAAAGATCTGTAAGACAATTGAGTCCAACCATTCCTCCAGCACTGCTAAGCCACTAAACTATGTCCCCAAGCGCCACATCCACGCATCTTTAACATCCCCCAGGGGGATGGTGACTCCACCTCTATCCACGGCCCCCTGATCCAATGCTTGACAACTCTTTCCATGCAGAAATGTTCCCTAATATCCAATCTAAGACTCTTCTGATGAAACCTGAGTTTTTTTCCTCTGGTTCTGTCACTTGTTACTTGAAACAAGAGACTGAGTGCCTAGAGAACGCTTTCTCAGACCATTTGGCATTGCACATAATTTAGTTTTGCTCAAATCACAGCTCTCACTGTCCTCAGCTGTAGTTATAAATGCTTGAGACTTCTGTATTCAGACCCTGGGCCTCAGTTTGTCATTCAGGGGGAAAAAAAAGAAAACATATCTGAAGTATTATGGCACAACTGAATTGTGAACTCTATACTGCCAGCTGGGCAGGATGCCAATTAGAAATATTCGATGCTTTAATGATAGACAGTCCATTCTCTTCCTGTAACTTCCTGCTTGGATTTCTGCCCAAGTCGAGGGAACTTGGTGACCTGAGACCTAGTGCCTCATGTCACTCCTCAGTATTTGACTGTGAGGCTGCTCCAAGGCAATTTTGCTGTGTCTGTAGTCCAAGTGGAATGGATCAGATCTTCAGCAACTCTTATTTTAGGCATAGGATCTGCCCACTTGCTGTATAGAACCCCATTCACATCTTTTTTTCTGTTGGTAGCTTCCAGACAGTTTAAGCTGTTCCTATGTTGATTGTGATGTAGCAGACCACATGTTGGCTAAGCATCAGCCATTTGGGGGAAGGAAAATCAAGTAGAGATAATTTGCACTAAAGGATTAAAATGCTTCTATTTAGTACACTAGATGCCATGCATTTCTGAAATTGTACTGCAACATACCTGCAATCAAAAATTAGCACCTGTTGACCACATCTAAATTTGCATAGTGCACCGCAGTGATGTCCCTTTCTAAATATGCAGTAGTTTTGTGGCCTTTGATCCCCTGTACTGCAGTCTTAGGTGGGTGTTTTGTGGCTTACTGTAGGAGCCCAGAGTTATGGCCCTGCAATCCCTTCTTGATCCTTTGCCACTGAAGAAATCCTCCATGATGTGCTAAGCTAACATTGCTCACTGTGTCATGCTAAGGAAGACACTACCTTGTGTCTTCACCTGTAACAAAGTATATTTAGGAAAAGAGCTGGCCATTTGTGGACTATGGTATTCTTTCTTTTGCCATTGAATTAGGGCTGGGCTTTGTTTCCAAACATTGTGTTTCATAGCCAACAAGGGTTCTTGGATCAGTTTGTCTCAATCCTCCTTGTCACTGAGTTATATTTTTAGACTGTGTAACACCACGTATTAATGAGTTCCATAACTTAGCTGTACATACTTTTAATGAAAAAACGTGTAATTGGCTGACATCCAGTTCTTGTGCGAGACTGCAACAAAAATCATTACCAACACATTTTCCCCTCATCATTGATGGAGGTTTTGTAGGCTTGCATTCACAGCCAAGCAAATGAGCCCAGGTAACCCAGCCTCCTTAACTCAGATTCAGGAGGCTGGATTAGGGTCCGATGAGCCCAGACACAAACGAGGAGCCCGCCGGGTGCCACCTGCCAACAGCTGGCACGTCCGGCGGGCAGCGCAGCGGTGTCTGCGGAGGATGGGTGCCCGCGGAGGATGGGTGCCCGTGGTAACCGCGCTGCCAGGGCACCGCTCCGCCCGCCGGGGCGCGTCCACCCGGGCCGTGCCACCGCGCCCGGGATCCGCGCCTAACGCACCGGCCATGGCCGGCGGCCGCGGCAGCGCCGGGAAGCGGCCGGGCCGAGCCGCCACAGCCCCAGGCCCGCAGCTGGGCAGCGCGGCAGCTCCGGCACCGGCGGGCAGCAGCCCCGGCAGTGGCGGGCCCAGGCGGTTGCCACAGTCCTCCGGGGCTGCCCTCCGCCTCCCGGCCCTGCAGGCCCGGCCGCGTGGAAAGCCGATCCCGGCAGGGCCGTCCCGACTGCCGCTCGCTCTCAGACCCTCGCGGGGCCGGGCCGGGCCAGGCCGGACCGCCGGCAGCCACGGCAAGCGCTGGGCTCGGCCGGGCCCGGCGGGGCTGCGGGCGGTGTGTGCACGGCGGGAGGGACCGAGCGGGTCAGCGCGGCGCGGAGGGCGGGGATAACCCCGTGGTGGCCGTCACGTGGAGCAGATGAAAGGGAAGCGGCTTGGCAGGGCGGAGAGGAGCCGGGGCGAGGGAAGGGGAGCGCGGCAGCGAGGAGCGGGGCGCAGCGCGGCGGGAGGGCCGCTGCCATGGGACGCTGACCGGCCCGGGACCCCGGCCCCGGAGCTGGAGCCGCTCGGGAGAGATGCGCGGCGGCGGGGCGCCGCTTCCTCCCGCCGCGCGATGAGGGGCTGCGGGGCCGGCGCGGGGCTGCCCGTGCCGCCGCTGCCGCCGCCTCTGCTGCTGCTCGGGGTGCTGCTGGCCGCGGCGCCGGGCGCGGCGCTGGGCAAGGAGACGGCGTTCGTGGAGGTGGTGCTCTTCGAGTCCAGCCCCAGCGGCGACTACACCACCTACACCACGGGGCTGCAGGGCCGCTTCTCCCGCGCGGGGGCCACGCTGAGCGCCGAAGGCGAGATCGTGCAGGTGAGCGCGGCCGGGGGGCGCCGCCTGCCCCAAGATGGCTCCGCGGGCCCGGCACCTGCGGCACAAAGCGGGGCCGGGCCCGCCGCCCCACGTGCGCCGCGCGGCCCGGGACGCGGTGACAGATGCGCGCCCGCGCACAAAGGCCCAGCGCCGGCCTCGGCTCGCGGGGCCGCCCCGCTTTGACAGCCGGGCGCGCGGCGCGGGCTCCGCTGGGCGGCGGGAGCGGGCGGAGCCGAGGCCGCCCCACACGCGCGGCGGGCTCCGCTCAGGTCCGCTCCGCTCCGCTCGCCCCTGCGCTGGGCGCTGGGCGCGGGGCGGGCGGGCGGGCGGAGGCGGGGCCGTGCCGGGCGGCCCCTGCCGGTCCCGGAGCTGCCGGCGGTGCGCAGCCGGAGCCGTGCGGGGCTGCTCCGCTCCGGGGGCGGCCGGGCCCGGGGTGGAATTGCCGCGGCAGTCATGGGGTGCTGAGCCCTCGGGCTGTGCCGCTCGTTGGCCGCTCCGCGCCCGGCGGCGCTCGGGGCTGGAGCCGGGGCTGCTGCGCTCGGGGTCCCCCGGAGCCCGGCTCCCACCGCGTCACGCTTCGTGCAGAGCTGTGCTTGGCTGGCTCACCAGAGAAATGGTTCTTGTCTTTGAACGCACCTACCCTTTACTCTTATTGAAACTCTTGAAGTGCTTATCTAATTCCTTTGTAGTTGCTTGTAATTGCTGACTTTATTTTTTCCCCCTTTTGCGAAGTAGAGAAAAATTACTTGAATGGTGTTTTAGTAAGTTTGACTGTTAAGCAAGTGCCAATAGCAATCTTTATTTCTCTTTAACAGTTGTGGGGTTGGTTTGTTTGCGTTCCATATATGTATGCATATGTACACATACATACGCACGTAAATATCCATCCAAAACTTACAAGAATCTAACTGGTAGCAAGTAGGTTATAGAAACCACTGTTAAGGCTCTACAAACACAAATACATTACTATCAAAACAACTTTTTTTTTCTAAGTAAAGAATACTGCTTATGAATGCTTGATATTTCAAAAGAGTTTCAGCTGGGATGATTTCTTATAAAAGTTCTCTTGGAAGCAGAAGAGTTGTGAGGCCAAATTGCTGATGTAAGGTAATTTTTCAGAGAAAAGAGGGATGGACCCATTAAGTTATAATTATGACATTTAGAAGAGGTGGTGCTAGTAGGGGCTGGAACTGACATGGACGTTTTTTTAACCTTTTAGTGCTTTTTCATTTTAAGACTTAATAGTGTCTTTGAGGCCAGCAGGAGACTTCAAAGGTTCTTTTGTGTCAGGTGTTAGTATTAAGAACAGAACATAGGCTGAGGTCATACTTTCTTGGTGACTGTAAGTAAAAGTGGAGAAAAAATAAACTGTTCTCTTAAGACTCAGATTTGCACAACTTGAAACAAGGGTATTAAATAGACTTTGGCAGGCCTTACTGTTTGTAACATCACCTGTCTGCTTCCTCTTCATGCCTGACTAGACAGCACCCCAAATAGGAAAAACTACAGTGAAAGTCACATGGTGTGGCAAATCTTTTACAGTCATTTATCACTCAAAAATTGATTTGCTTATTCATCTGGATGCATGCTAGATAACATATGCCATGGACAGGTTTGGGTTTGTTTTTTTTTATGGGCTGTGTGTGCTGCTCTTTTTTCCAGAGGAGAAAACCTGGCAGATACTGTTCCAGAGCAGCTAGACTGAATGCTCTCAGTTGTATTTTCACTGCTGAGGTTTTAGATTGCATATACCATCTCTTGGCAGTGTCCTGCTTCCTCTTTCTCATCCTGAAAGAAAGTTTATCAGAGCCAAAATTGATCAAGATTCTCACAGCATTGTCTTGCTCCTTTTTTTCAGCTGGGCTGTGTTTTTGTAGAACATTTTGACTCTGCTGTTCTGGATCACCATTTAAAGTTCACTGTGAGGTTTAGAAAAGGCTCATGAAGCTGTTGCCACTCAGAACCTGTTCAGCAGCAGCTCGTTGTACATCAGTCAGTGAAGCAAGCTCTTCTTGGCCCCAGCCCCTTTGTCAGTGCACACAGCTCTTTCAAGAATAAGATGCATTTTTCTTTAAGATGAAATATTAGAAGTTCTTGAAAATCAGGCACACATTAAAGAATGGATCAAAGGAATTGTGGTTTTGGGACTACACAAAGGCTTACTTTTGTTTATGTTAATAGCATCAATTACTCATTGGTCTTGAAAGTCTGAACAAAAAAACCCCAACCTTAAGAAACAATGCACTTTCAGCTTTTGATAGGTCATACATCCACTCCTGAACTGGTTATTGGTCAGATTCCTATCCAGTAGTGGTGTGCTATTATATTGTTTCTCAAGTTATTGTGAATGAATCTTATTAGGGTCAAGTGTCTCCCCAGAATAACTCTTCAGAGAGATGAAATGTTCATATGCCTTCTTTCATGTGGCCACAGTTTGTATTCAGCAAACTCATCCTCATGTTGCTGTGTCAGCTGGTCCTTAAACTGCTGGAAAGTCTAACAATTTTGGTGGTATCTGGCATACAGGAATATCCCATGTTTCCTGGGGCAGCATGCTGGCCATTGATATGGGCAAGAGATTGGAAGTTGCAGATGTTTGGTTAGAGAGTGACTGTGAAAACCAGACTTTGTTGAAACCTCTGAAATGATATATTGTTCTGAAACAAATTATCACTGGAGAACTCCCTATGGTTGAAACTTCTCCTGCCATTCAGGGCAAAAGTTCAGATGTAGCCTTGTCTCAAGCTCAGTGTTACATGGCCACAGACTGTGCTTGTACAATAAAAATCACTGATTTGACAGCAGTGGCTTTATTGCTCAGAGTGAGGTTGTGTATCTTAATCTACTTGCATCTGGTGAGATCCTGTTCCTGTTGCTTGTTCAGCTTGATAGCTAAGGTGTGGAGCATCTAATATCGCATTTCTTATAAAGTTATGGTTGTGATTGGGCTGCTCAGGTGAGGTGCTTGGGAAAGAGGATCAAATTTAATGCCTGTGATGTGTCAAAAACTTTAAATTATGCGCATTCATTATTGTCAGTTTTCTCTCAGTCTTACTTTTTTTGTACTCCTGCCTTAAATACAGCAATATGGGTGGATTACTGAGATATACAATTTTGGAGAGAAGCAGCATGGAGGAGAAATTTGAGGATATTATGAGTGTTTTTTCTTGTGCAACAAAAGTTTGTGTTTTGGTTGGTTTGTTTCTGCTTGGAAGCCTCAGCAGGGAAATGATGAACTTCATGTAGCCATTGAACTGGAGCAGTGTGTAGATGATGTAACAATCTCCACTTGCATATATTTTTTGTGCTTAAAAGGTAACAGTCTGGGGAGAACAAGCAGAACTCAGTGCTTTAAGCTCCAGGAATAAAACAGAAGTGGGACACTTCCCACCTTTTTGCATGATACTTCCTAGTAGCAAATTATTGCCCGTCTTTCTCTTGTAGAAGGTGGGGAGGCTTCAAACTGGACTGCAAGACAGTGCCTGTGTGTTCCTTCTTTCCTTCCATCTCCCTCCCACCCCTTACTTCAATGGCTTTGAATCTTCCCTCTGTTTTTTCAAAATGCAAAAGTTACCAAAGGTTGCAAACTTCACTCAGAAGCATTGGCAGGTTTTGATGGTGTTGAAAGGAGTGACTTGAAATAACTGTGCAGATACAGAAGATGTCTAGCCATGATCACAGGAGGCTGAATCAAGGGGATGTTTGTGTCCTTTGAGAGTGGAAGACAAAAATAAGTATTTTTGGATTTTTTTGGTTGTTCTTTTGTGATCATGCAGGTTAAGTTTCTTCTTGCTGAGTGCCTGAAGGCCTTTCAAAATGAGGAAGTGGAATTATTTGTGGCTTTGAGTCACTGTCTTATTGAATGTTTTCTTTGCTAGTTATCCTCTTAGAATATGAAGGCGCCTGTGATTGGGTTTGTGTTAGTTTCCATACCCAGCTGTGAGTCTGTGGCTTGCAGTAATGATCCTGAGGACATCAGGCACAATGCATTTATCTGGGCTTCAGGTTGGCTTTGTCATTGTGTCCTTAAAGGAAGAATAATTTGCTTCCAAAATGAGAGATCACTTAGGGAAAGACTTGCATGGTTGTTGTACCTGGACAGCCTTTGTGGAGTGTAATGCACAGGAACTTGCTCACAGCAGAGGTGTTGTCTTGGGCTTGATCTCAGGACAGACTGGTCCAGCTGTTTCACAGTTTTATCCCTCCCTCTGTCCTTTTTTTATTTTTAAGTTTCAATCATGGTTTATCCTGTTGTGTACTGTAGTTGAAGACAGCCTGCTAAGGTGTTTTGTTTAAGTTTTTATCCTCTTGTACTGTTTTGTCTTGACACTGAGCACTGTCCTCACACCCTGAGCTCCAGCCCAGTTCCATCATTGCTGGCTTATTTTGCAGGGAGTTGCCTGTTCCCATTGGCTTCTGCCTGAGATATTGTAAATAAAGATGCTTATTTTCAATAATTCTTCAGCACTGCAATATCTAAGATGTCTCTTAGAATGGTGGTGAAAAGACATGGGAGGAGACTGATCTGAGGATGAGGTACCAAATTCAGTGATGAGTTACTGAGCTCAGGTATCTGTTATCTTTGCACAATACCAGAATCATGCAGCAGCTGCAGCAATACCAGAATCCTCCTATCAGAACCTTGGTGCAAGACTAAGGCAGTCCCTTGAAGAAAGGGTGGGAGGCAAAGTGTAAGAAAATGCAGTAAAAGATATTTAAGTATGGAGAAGTTAGAGTGGAAAGAACAAAAAATGCTAATGTGACCCATTTAGAGGAAGAGGAATAAAGTAGGTTAACCAAGTAAATAAAAGCAGAAAGTTCACAGCACTGGCTCAGTACTCAGACCTACCAGTGCAATTTCCATACTTCCAAGTAAAGGTGGGGAATCAAGTGGGGAGAATAGTTTGTGGGAGTTCAGGTAACTTTTCTGCATGTGTCTGTATGCTTAGTTAAACTTCCTTACAGATGCTGAAGCTGTGCACTGTTGAAAGCCTTGCCTT